TAATTTTCGGAAACTCCCAAATAGGATCCACGGTCTTAGGCCTAGGCTTTGCTTTTCAGTCTCTGCAGGGCGCATTTTGCTGAGCCCGGAAAGACCGCTGCTGGCATCTTTCAGGAAGTTTGGCCAACGCCTGTGGGGGGACACATCGATGTGCCTAGCTCTTAAGCTGTTAAGCTTTATACAGTGTATTTTGAATTTTATATCTATACATATATATATATATACATATATATATATACATATGTATAGCACATACTATAGAACATCAAATGCTGTATGCAACATATAATATGCTTCAAACCCCACACTGGCCCTACACCCTAAACCCTGATTCGGAGCGCTTGAGGCTCTTTGGGGGCTAAGGAAGCTACCACATTCCGCCCCAACCCTAAACCTTAAACCCTAAACTAGGGTTTAGGGTTTAGGGTTTAGGAGTGGGTTTAGGGGTTTACGGTTTAGGGTTTAGGGTTTTTCAGAAAGGCCGCCCTGCCCACCTGTCTGCGACGTGCAGCCACCGAGGCCTTCGAGGCTATTGCCAGGCGCACCTCTGTGGCCTTCGAGGCCCTCTCCAAGCGAGCCTTGAACCGCTTCCTTGGGGCTGTGGGTTTAGGGTTTAGGGCTTTGGGTTTAGGGTTTAGGGCTTAGGGTTTAGGCTTTAGGGCTTTGGGTTTAGGGTTTAGGGTTTAGGGGCTCCTTTAATTAACGGCTTCTGTTCATTGCTTCTTCAAGGGTTCCTTAAAGGGTTCCTTTAAAGGGTCTTTCAACTTTTCTGAGGGTTCCTTTAGGCTCTCAGGAAATCAAGTAACCTAAGGTTCACATTTTACGGTTTGGGATTGCTGCCTTGGCTGCTGCAAGGGCTCCTTGTCCTTTTCAGGCTCCTTTGGGCTTCAAAAGTTTCCATAGAGGAGCTAATGTACGGGCCTAAATTAATTAGCAATACTATTCCGAGGTTCCTTATTATGATTATAGTATAATGGATCCCCAAACCCTATTCCAATTATTAAGGCCCCTATATGAGGGGTTTGGCTTTGGGGCGTTAGGGTATTTTGGGGGTTCACTTTCTTGGGTGCTGTAGCGGTTCAGGTGTCCCTAAGTCTCCAAAACTCTTTAATGAAGGCGCACAATCTAAAAGCCTAAACCCTAAAAAATCTGAACCCCATCTCCTGTAACCTCATGAAAGTGCCAGGAAGTGTCGCATAGGCCCCATCCACGGAAGCTGCGGCCTCCGTGACCGAAAGGGTCCTAAGCCTCCGCTTGTTCGGAGATCGCCGCATCTCCGTCAGCGCCTTGCTGCTCGGATTCTGTAAGGTTTCGGTTTAGGGTTTAGGGTTTAGGGGGGTTAAGGTGTGGGGTTTAAGTTGTTCTTTTTGAACTCTTTTTTGCGACTGCATCCTCGGCAGAAGATACAGCCAGGGGGTTTAACGATTTAGGGTGCAGGGTTTATAAGGTTTCAGGTTCAATGCTTCGGGATTATCGGGTTTCTAAGGCTCACGGGTGTAATGAGCTTTTATTAGGTTTCAGGGCAGTTTGCAGGATGTCGGGTTTGAGGTTTGTTTTGGTTTTTGGTTTTGGCGTGCTTCGAGTAGGGATTCAGGATGTAGGGTTTCAAGGGATTGAACGGCTATTGGCTTGGGGTTGAGAGGGCTCATAGAGTTTATGGGGCTTTGGGGCTGTATTGGGCGTTCAAAGGTGTTAAGAGGTGAGGAGGTGTCCCCGTACTGCCCTGAACCCTGAGTTGAACCCAGGGCCCTAAACCCTGAACCGTAAGCCCCGCCTCCCGCAGGAATGGCCAACCCCGGCCGGCGGCCCCAAGCAGATGGAGACGATGATGCAAGGCATTCCGCAGCTTCGTATAGGGTCCCTCCAACCTGTGGTAGCTCCATTGGACGTGTCGGGTTTGGGTTGAGTGCTTGAATGCAGGGCTTGCCCTTTTAGGCTTGGAAAGCTGCAGTGCTGCCCAAAGAAGCAGCCCTGATTTCACCCTGGTCTTATTTCCTCAACCTCTCAACAGCTGCAGGTGTGCTGAACTTATCTTTTTCACACAAAACGAGTAAGCCCCTCAAGCAATTCCTGTACATGCCTTCCGAAACCACTGCAAGGGAAATCATGAGAATACCCTTCAGAGCCCACCCCAAAAAAGCGTGCAAGGGAGAAGAGGTGAAGGTTTCAGGATGACAAGTTCGGATTCAGGCCTATCTTTAGGGTTTGGGGTTTAGGGCTCTATGGGTTTAGGGTTTACTGTTTAGGGCTCTATGGGTTTATGGTTTACGGTTTAGGGCTCGATGGGTTTAGGGTTTAGGGTTTACGGTTCTAGAGGTCCCTACCTCGGGCTTTCCGGTTTTGGGCAGTTTCGGCTTCAGCGGGTGCTATCAGACGGCCCCCTCCCCCTCCCCGCACTGCGTCCGACCTTCTGCTCTTTCTTATGGCCCATATGAGGGTTTCCGAAAATAGGGGACCCTAATATAATACCCTAAATAATAGGTTCCTTATTATAAGGACCCCAAAATAAGGTACCCTAATTTTCGGAAACTCCCATATAGGAAATACAAGGACAAGCGTGAGACCTTAGACCATCAAAACACACACAGTTACGCACGCACAAAAACGAACGACATAAACACGATGAATATGTACTGTAGACTGCTAGACACCCTGATTGCACAGGTTCTAACACGTGACATTTGGGGTCGCCCACCTCATTGAGCAATGCAGGACAGCTCTGAAGGACAGCTGCATCTCCGGATTCCTTGGGGCACCCCACAGAAGCCACAGAAAACTGGAAATACACACTACAAGCCCTTTACGAAGAAAACCCTAAACCCATAGAACCCTAAATACTAAACCAGCCCCACCAAAGTGCCCTAAAGACCCTAAAAAGCCCTCAAGCTGGAGCTCCCAACCCTACAGCAGCAGGTTGTGACAAATGACTTGTGAGGTATAAGAGCCCGACGATGAAGCGGCAATTGCAGCCACAGAACCCCAAACATCATCCATTCTGTAAGCTTGATGCAGTAAACACCTGCACCTCCAAACACTAAACCGCCTATAATGTATGGGGCCTTAATAATTAGAACAAAGTTTCGGGCCCCTTGTATGGCAAAATTATAATAAGGAATAATAAGGCATAATATTGGTAATTATTTAGGCCTCTTTTTTAAATTATAATAAGGAACCATAAGGCACAATATTGGTAATTGCTTAAGCTCCTATATTAAACCCTCACAAAACCCAAATGCCCAAGGCCAAGCTTCGTGGTGAGGCTCAAGCAGGCACTCTCAAAGGCACCAACCTGAGGCTCCGGTGTATTGGGCTTACCGGAGCTTTTGTAGGGTTCAGGGCTGGGGATTTAAGGCTTAGGGGTTTAGGGTTTAGGGTTTAGGATTGGGGCTTGAAGGTTTAGGGTCTAGGGTTTAGGATTTAGGGTTCAAGGTTCGGCCAGGGTGGTTACAGCTTTCGGAATCTGAGATAGCCTCGGCAAATAGGGTCCAGGCAGATAGGAAGGAGGATGTTGTTGTTGCTGTTTCGGGAACTCGGTCTAAGGAATAGACGGGCTTAAGCTCGAAGAAGGGGTTTGGTGTCTACGGGTGAGGTATGGGATCATGGGTCTCAAAGCCTGGTGAAGAAGGTGTAGGGCTTATCGGGGTTCTGTGGAATTTTTGCTACAGAGCCTTATATTATACATACATATATATATGGGCGTTTGGGTGGTTTGGGGTTTAGAGCCTTCAGGGTACAAGGCACAACGACAAGCTTTAGACTTCGGGCTACGGAGTAAGACCGAGCGAGAAGAGAAAAGCACTTGACACATTGCCAATTTGGAGTTGAACAGAAGGCGCTACGTGATGTTTTTCTGCCTGCCGATTCAATAACCTGCTGTTTTAATGGAGTTCTACTTATACCCTTTGTGATGGAGTCAAGCAGCTCGTTTGAAGGTTGGAGAATTGTTAGATTATCGCAGACGGTTTTTAACTAGAACAAACTAGATATGATTAGATTAGATTGTAACCGAGTGACAAACTGCTCGACATCTTCCATGCAGACGGCGGCAAGTTTTGCGTGGACAGAAGCCTGGATCCGCGTCAAGGCCACCAACATGTCCAAGGACCTCTCCAAGCTCAAGACATACCTGAGGCAGCACTCAGGGTAAGATCTTTGGGTTTCGGGGGTTTTTAGGGTTTAGGGTTTAGGGTTTAGGGTTTGGGGTTTGGGGTTTGGGGTTTGGGGTTTGGGGTTTAGGGTTTAGGGTTTAGGGTTTAGCTGGGTAACCCAGAACCGTGGTTTTGAGGGCTCCACATTTGGGATACACCGGGGGTCAGTTCCCCCCTTCCACAGAACACCCTGCATAGGGTGTTTGGGCTCTGTAGGACAAACCTTCAGACTCAAATAGGGTTCAATGCTTTTGTCCCGGGTATGGCATGAAATGACCCGCCCCTACAGTCTGGAATATCGAACCGTAAGCTCCTAAACTCCTAAACCCCGCTAAACCCTAAACCCTAAACCCTCATTAAACCCTAAACCCTGAAAAAGTGCTAAAGCCACTTGCCCTAGACCAAATGGGTGATTGTCAAAATTATGGTCCCTTTTTGGGTCCCTAATATAATACGGCATCTAATATTTAGGGTACCCAAAAAGGGACCCTAATTTTGACAACCACCCAAATGGAAGTCCAGCGGCTGAGTTCGGGCTTCCACAGGCCCAAGCCCCTGTCTTACCCGGTAGTAGATACCAGTGTCGCGCTGGACCCGCTCCAGATGGCTGGCATAGCAGCGGTCCTACATGGGGAGAGGCATCAGGTGGTTTGTTGAGGTTTTCGGCTTAGGATGGGAAGATTTGAGGATTTAGAGTTCCGAATTTGGGGTTTGCGGTATAGCATTGCTGAGCATCTAGTTTCCAGAGTGGATTCTGAAACAACCACTCTTGTTTGTTCAATTCACAGACCGACCATACGCAGCATTTCAGCCATTTCCGTCTTGAAAAGGGTTCCATCCCCTAGACTGTAAAATCTAAACCAATGAATCCAAAACCCCTGAACTGCGATGACCGGAACACTGAACCCCTGCATCCTTAAATTCATCGATCCGTTCTTCCACAGCAAAATTCGCACATCGACATAACCCAACTGTAAACCTGACCCCAAATCCCGAACCCTCCAGCCCCTAAGCCCGAACCAAAATCAACTAAACCATGAAAACGAGGTTAACTTATCTCAGCCCATCTTACTGCATTCACGCCCACTCTCAGTGACTGACGAACTCTATCACAACCAAACCCTAAACCCTAAACCCTAAACCCTAAAACCCCTAAACCCTAAAAACCCTAAAAACCCTAAAAACCCTAAAAACCCTAAAAACCCTAAAAACCCTAAAAACCCTAAACCCTAACGCATACAACAAGATCCTGCAACCGAGCTCGGCCCTGCGCGTGGCAAAGGGCCGGGGAAGGTCCCCTGGTGGAATGGCCGGCCTGCATATGTCCTTGGCATACGGTTTAAGGTTTAGGGTTTAGGGTTAGGGTTTAGGGTGTAGGGTTTAGGGTTAAAAGGCACTATCAGGGTTCGGCACATGTTTTTGAGGCTATAGAATGGGCAGTCAGGGCTCCATGACGGCTTCATTCAAAACAGCTAATTTGAGGATTCTGGCAGGGTTCAAAATTTACAACAAAGCATTTTGATGGCACTATTTGGGCTCCATAAACGTTTCACAGATGCTGGAAATCGTTCTTACAATGGTAGTTGCCTTGGCTCACTCGAAGAGTTCTACAAGATCTCTGCGCAGGTGTTGAACGGGCTCCAATGGTCTTCAAGGTCCGGCTTACGACTTTCAGATTTTGAATGGTTAGGTGGGGATTTTGGGTCGTCGGCACATCCTGCAATGAAGTGTCAGGCGAGGGGTTTAGAGTATCAGGTTTCGGGATGGGTTTGACAATGTTTTTAAAAACTCAGAGAGCCCTACTTGCGCGTGAATGAAGCATACACGCTAGATCACTGCAAGTCTATGCTTTTGCAGTCATGGCCCTTACCATTGTCTGTGGAGCGGCTTGAGGTGCGCAAGCGGTTCGGTGTGCAGGGATTGGGAGGGGTGTTCGGTTTTCTGTTGGGCTCTCGGCGTGCGGGTGCGTGGAAATAGGCTTATGGCGGTTATGGGGTTGAAAGAGTCACAGGTTGCCGTTGATGGTTCAGTTTCTAAAGCAGCACCACGATGGTATATCTCAGAAACAATAAATCGTAAGCGAACAAAAACAAGAATGACTCATTACACACACACACACACTTCACACACACACACACAGACAGCCAGGCAGGCAGGCAGGCAGACAGACACCCCCCACACACACACAGACACACACACACACACGTAACTACACAGACATATTCAGACAGAACTACATACATACATCCATGCATGCATACAGTATGATATAGTACACTACATTACATTCCAAGGCCTTCCAAACGACCTCCCTGGGATGCACATATTCTAACCCTGCGAAAACCCCTGAAGTGACCTCTTGGCCTCCTTATGAAACTAGCATAGAGGCTATAAGGGCTCTTGAAGTGACATCACATGGTCGCTAAGTGACGCAACAACCTCTTGAATGCTAAGATGGATCGTTAAGGCTTAGTGTATTGCAAAGTTTTCTCGGGATCTTCTAGCTTTCAGATTTGGGGTGCAAGGGTTTGAATATCGCACAGCGCCTCGAAGCGGCGGCTCCGCGTGCATGTATGTATGTACGTAAGTATGTATATATGTACGTACGTATGCGTGTGCATGTATGTATGTATGTATGTATGTATGTATGTATGTATGTATGTATGTAAATACGTATATACGAATATAAGTATATTCGTATATACGTGGTTACATATAATATGTGTTATGTGTATATATATTTATATACAAATATATATATATATATGTATAGATGTACATATGTAAAAAGGTAGTGTAATGTAATGTAGACACACATAAACACGCGCGTTGACACACACACACACACAGAGACACACACACACAGACAGAGACAGAGACACACACACACACGCACACGCAGAGACACACACACACACAGAGACAGAGACACACACACACACACACAAACACAGACACGCAGAGACACACACACACACACTCTGACACACACACACACAAATACGCGAGTTCAGAGCAGCAGAAGAAAGAAACAAACGCCTTCCCTAGACCCTAAGCCCCAAGCCCTACAAGCCTCAAACCTAAAGCCCAGAAAACTACTAATGGAATGCTAGGCGTCGGTACAGTGCTGCCCGCACAGGCGGCTTCAATCGGTCCAAAGCCTCTCGCCGGTCCTCTTCAGGTTGAAGGATTACAAGTGGATATTACTGCTGCCTTTTTAGCCCCATAAAGCCCACCTTTATAGTGTTCCTAGTTATGTTTTCTTATGTGAGAACTGAAAAAAGTAGGTTGTTTGGAGTTAGAGTGATTATTATATTCAGGGATTCAGGGAGCCTTCGGTTTCAAAGCTTAAAGTCGTACAGATTAAAGGCTTAAAAGTGCGGGGCTGTCAGAAGGACACAACTTGGACCACATGAGGCTGGCGGTGTCCATCCGTCCGATCAATAGAGAGTTTGCTACCAGCCCTGACGCACGATCTAAACATCCACGTCTGCAGCACTCTAAGCCGACTCTAAGCCCAGGACCTCGCCCGCTCAACCCGGAACCCTGAAATCTTAGACCCCAAGCCCTCAACTCAGAGCCCCAACCCTCAGGCCTAAACCCTCTGTAGATCGAAAGCCCTCACACCTAAACCCTAGAATTTTAGGGTTTAGGGTTTAGGGGTTTTGGGGTTTAGGGTTTAGAATCCTAGAAGCCACGCCCTCGATGCTAAAGCATGAAGCACCACTCGGCTCCTCGGTGGGCACCGATCGAAGAGCGGATTCGAGGCGGCTCAGACAAAGCTGAAGCTTCGACAGCTTCGGCGCCTGACTGCGGGTTTAGGGGTTTAGGGATTTTACTCTGTGGTGGGTCTTGGGGTTAGGCTTCTACCTGGAATTACTAAAGTTTTCTTCGTAAGGACCCGATAAGTTCTATATTATGATTAAGGTTCATATAAAGGACCCGTCAAAAGTTATGATTCTGATATATTAAGGTGGAGTTGATAGGGTTTGGGGCTTCATGGGGACTTGGGGGTTTAGCGTCTGGATTTTGTGCGTGGGGTGTTCTGGCTAACTCCTGTTATACTTCTGCAGAAAGAGTAGAAACACCAATGAAGTTTGCGTGAACATCGCAACCACTATGTGACGGCGCGCAGTTGCAAGCAAACCCTAACAAACCCTAAACCTAACCTTGAACCCTAAAACCCTAAACCCTATAAAGTCTGGAACCAGACCTAAGCCCTAGCTTGAAAATATGCTGGACTCTAGACTGCAACTAAGCTGAAACCCCCGCAGGAAGCACCGAAATCCCTAAATGCCTACATTCTCAACCCCTGCTCCGCAGCAAGATCTGAGCGATCAGACCCGACGTCAAGATCCTTCTGTGGGTTTTGGGTTAAGGGCCGTGGCCCTACATCCTAAACCCTCAACCCTACATTACACTGTAAGCCCCAAAGCCCCAAACCTGAAAGACTCTCGAGACCCTGAACCCTTGCAGACATAGATCCTAGAGACACCTGAATTCAGGAATATGTGATAGCTAGATTCTAGATCTTCAGACCCCGTTCCCCTGTCCTGTGATTTGACGAGTATTCCTTAATGAGGTGGTTTTGAAGTCCCTCTGAGTACTTGTAGCCCCAAACCCTACAACATGGATAGTTTAGTAAGCAATGACCCCTTCATGACAGCAAAACAAATCGTAAACACGGTACGTAGGTTATTGGGGAGTTATTGGGGATCCCACGGTAGACCCGAACCCTAAACCCTAAACCCTAAATCCTAAACCCTAAACCCAAAACCCAGACCCCAAATCACCAAAACCCCCTAAACCCCAAAGCCCAAATCCAAAACCCCCTAAAACCCCCCTAAACCCTAAACTCTAAACCCAACAACATTTCAAAACCCAAAACCCAGACCCTAAACCCCCTAAACCCTAGCCTAAATCCTACAAAAAAAACGCCTGCCACGG